GTAATGCTTTGTTTACGAAGTTAAAACTAAAAAGTTATCACCCACCATTCACTTAAGGAAGGGAAAAGGGATAACGTGCCCTTGATTTATTATTGTACAAAAGTAGAGCTTAACCCTCCACTTTTGCATCTTGACTTTGCCCATAATGGTGGTACAACATGGATGTCATCACGCCAGCTTTATTTTACAGTGATACCCTCTTATCCACAGCCATATTTCCCTCTTCACAGTCCTGACTGCTGTGGCTGCTGGGTCCTGAAGTGTATCCCATCTTCAAGGAATTCCATGGTGGGATTCTTCATGGAGCTGGGCCATTTCATTACAGCAAATATGAAAGGCTACATATATAGTAGCAATAATCTAATAGAACCTGAAAAATCTTGCAGTAGTAGCACCTCCTTCTATTCATCACATCAACTGCTTTTGAAACAGAGGATTCCAAAAGCAACATGCAATAAAGCATCAGAGACAGTTAGAAAAAAAAGTCATGGAGATACGACATCCCTTATGCAACCCCAAGTGGTTCTTTGGACCCTGGTCTGTGTACAAATCAGAATTTCCACTGCAGATCTGGGCCGAATAAATTCACATCCTCGATGGATATTATTAAACACAGTAATATGGTATGGATCTAAAGTGTGAAAGCAAAAGGTTTTGTGTTGTACAGGACAGAAATAAAATCCAATTCGTTGTGTTTGGTTGTTTAAAAAATCAAAGTCTTACCACTTTCTTTAGAACAAAGAAGATAAAAAAGACATGCCATATTATTCCACATCAGATTCTTTCAAACATGGGAGTGAAGGGAGACAGAAAAAAAAGCATGCCCATATTAGGTAGATGTAAGGGTAAAATACATTCTCTGATAAATAATACTAGCATTATAATAGATCATTCAAAAAGCATTAACCATTATGAACTAGACTACTTTTTCAAGTAGGCCAAACTGACTCTTGCAGAGGAAATCTGGAATGATCTGAAAGCAAACGCTGAGTGCTTTACAAAAGGATGTCCCTTCTGTCCAAGTCCAGCTGAGATCTGCCTAGAGCAGTGTTTCTCAACCTTGGCACCTTGAAGAAGTGTGGACTTCAACTCCCAGAATTCCCCAGCCAGCCATTTGAGAAACACTGATCTAGAGGTTTGTCTTAGAATGTAAATGTGAATCTGTGTATAAAACAAACTAGCTGTCATCATCTCAGAGAAGATAAATAATTAAGTAAACTAACCCATACACAACACAGGTTGTTTCAGCATTTTAGGTGAAGGCATCTGGGCTCTTATCTGGAGACAACATAATGAGGGAAGAGAAAATACCGTTCTTTCTCCCAGCTATGCGGGTGGGGTTCTTTCTCCCCATTAGGCTTCCTGAAATTATAACATTGTCCTCCTAGGACTAGCTTTTCCCTTTTCTAAATTATTTCTCAGCTTTTGCATATAAGACACACAAGAGAGCTACAGTTAGCTGCAGTATAAAGTGTAAAAATGGTTTTTAGAAAAACAATTTTTTACATAGCAAAACATTCACTTTGGACAGCAATTATCAATGCGTGTTAATATTGCAGATCACTCAAATGTCACCTCCCAATTAATTTTTGTTACTGTTGTCAGCACTGTTATCACACCCACGTTATGTTTTATTGAAGGGTACAACCCCCTTTACACACTAAATATTCTAAGAAATAATCCAATTATTGCAGTTAATTAAAAAAGTAGGCTTTTGTCCTATTCAGTGAACACAGCAGGGTTGGAAAGAATTTCAAAGAAATTTTGTAGGGACTATGAATATTGAGATGCACATAAATTTTTGCTCCTTTGAAAGGGACTATGAAGTCTTCAGAAAGATACACCTTAACTAACTAGATCTCTGCCATCAAATTTCCTTAGTGAAAGAGGAAACTGGCAGGACCTAGATGATCACTTTCCAAGAACTGTAGCAGGCAATTAAAATTATATAGAAGTGGCAGATTTTCATAAAATATCAGTTCTTTGGAATAATTTATGTTGTATCTACTCTAATAATTGTGTCCAATTCATGATGGTCATTGAATACTCTGTACCTCCTAAATCAGAATGTGCCAATAGTTCAAGTTGGGTATGGTGCACCTTCCAATGTAACCAGGGCAAGTGCTGCCCCACTTCTAAGATTCCTGTGACAACACATCATAGGAGAGCAACTAGTCTTTGGCACAGATCTCTGCTTTCTCTTTCATTTACCACTTTACTTTCATTTGTCTTAAAAAAAATAAACATTCTAAATCTTATGGACATATATTTGATTCCGTGCTCTCCAATCTGATAAAGTTGACCCTAGCTTCCTTTAATATAAAATAGAACCATGTGGGATGGATGGTCTTACTATCAGATGGAATCACAGATGGTTGAACAATTGTATCCAATTCATGGTCCTTAATAGATCAAGTGGGGTACTTCAGAATTCTATCCTGGGCCCAGCGTTCTTCAACATTGTTATAAATGACTTAGGCAAGGCCATAGAAGGGACACTAAGCAAATTTGCAGATGACACAGAGCTGAGAGGAGAGATTGGTAACACATTAGAAGACCAGCTTAAGGTTCAATGAATCTTGATAGATTTCAACATTAGGCCCTTTCCAACAAAATTCTTCTCAATGGTCAGAAATGTAAGGTTCTGTAATTTAGTAGGAAAAATCAGATGCACAGGTACAATACAGGTGGCATTTGTCTCAGCAGTAGTACTTGTGAGAAGGATCTGGGTGTCCTGGTAGACCACAGATTAAGCAAGGGCCAGCAGTGCGCAGCAACTGCCAAAACAGCCAATGCAGCCTTGGGCTGTGTCAACAGAGGTATAATGTTGAGATCATGGAAATGACAGTTCTACTGTGTCCTGGCCTGATCAGATTACACCTAGAATAATGAGTCTGATTTTGGCTGCCACTGTACAGGGACTGGAAAGAATGCAGAGAAGAACAAGAGATGGTGAGGGGTTTGAAAACTAAATCCTATGAAGAACAATTAAAAGGACAGGGGATGTTTATTCTAAAGAAGAGACGGCTAAGGAGAGACACAACAATTTCCTATGCTAGGAGGGCTAACATAGGGAAGAGAGTGTATATTTATTCCTTGTAGTGCCAGAGGGTAGGATAAGAACCAACAGGTGGAAGCTTCACAAAGTGTGGTGGATTGCAGCAAAGAGCAAGGCTATCAGGAAGGAGGGGGTGCATTCCAGGAAGGGAAAGGAGACAAAAGACAACACAGTCCAGAAGTGCAGCATGGGAAACATAAGAGGTTCAGGATTGCCACTTCCTAGAATCTCCCAGGGTATATCCACTAGTTGCAGTAGTATAGAAAAGAGCAAGGCTATCAGGAAGGAGGGGGTGCATTCCAGGAAGGGAAAGGAGACAAAAGACAACACAGTCCAGAAGTGCAGCATGGGAAACATAAGAGGTTCAGGATTGCCACTTCCTAGAATCTCCCAGGGTATATCCACTAGTTGCAGTAGTATAGATTTAGTCTGGCAAGATTCTGTCTACATGGTGAAAGCAAATAAAGGAACTGAACTCAACTGGAGTGTTTCACCGTTGTTCCTGGGCTGGGCCTGACATCAAGAGAGATCCAAATTTGAAATAAGGAAGAATTTCCTGACTGTGACAACTAATAAGCAGTGGAACAATCTGCCTTCTGGAGTTGTGGGTGCTCCATCTTTAGAGGTTTTCAAAGAAGGGATGGTCAGTCATTTGTCTGGAACGGTCTGAGGATTCCTGCTCCTAGTTGGACTAGAAGACCTCCAAGGTCCCTTCCTACCCTATGATTTTATGAATCTTGAAAGTCAGGGAATGGGTGAGCCATACTTCTTGTGGCAAGAAACTCCAGTGTACTCCATGCCTTCTCCAATGATGATACAAAATACACAATGCAGACATAATGGAAGAATAAATTATGCAAAATAGAAAATGCAGACATAATGGAAAGTTCTCATAATTTATTCAGATTACAGGATTTGGAATTATCACAAAGGATACCTGCCTGTAGCATAGCACACAATATGCACATAGAATGTGCACTGCTCTGCATTTGATGCAGCTTTCACAGGTTGGTGATGCATCAGTGCATGCCTTATATAATAATACTGATGCAGTTTCAGCCTTGGGGTAGCTATTTATGCTACAAGGGAGTCACATGGACGGTGTACTTACAAGCTACACTGCCATGCTTCATCATGAAACATGGGAATGCTGATTACATGTAGCCAGGGACAAATTGCTACATTATAGTTATGATGCCATAAATACTTTTGTTGGATAATGGCTAATAACCATGTTCTTTCTTTCTGCCACCCCTGCCCTCCAGTGCATTTCATGATGGAATTAGTATGTCGACTTTATACATAATAGGGCAATATGTCCTTCTTATGGGTTAAGACTGTTATACTGTATGGGGCAGGTGCTACGTGGAACTGTTTCCTGCAGTTTCTATGTGGCAGCCATAACACAAGGAATTGCTCAGGCTCTTGATAGAAACGAGAATAGCAAAATGTAAGAAAAATGCGTAGAAGTTAATCTACTAAATGTTAACATGGCCACCCACTTTAACAATTAAAACAGATGGTTCCTGGTGTATCTTCTGTGAGCAAAGCTGAAACCAAAGTAGAAAGCACCTTACAGAATAACCGTCTCTTACTGTAGAAGGCCTTACATATCATTTGTTGCTAACCTGCTTAAGGTTATACATTTGCATCAGTATCTAGCAATGCAGAGATCAGCCTATCAGGTACCTAACATGCCAGCATGTTAGCACCCTGGCTAGGTGCAACCCCGCCCCCACTACAATTGCTTGAGTAAGTTGACTTCTGTAAGCCAACCAAGAAGCTGAAGTCTATGCACATGGATACCACAGTGACACAGCGGTGGTAAATAAACACAATTTGACAGAAATGGCTATTTTAGGATGGAAAGAACAACACAGTGTGGTTAAAAATCTTCCTTTCCCACCCACCCCTTGTTCACACACCCTTCTCAGATATGAAGGTAGCAATTTTTGGCCCAGCTTATTACCAGCTGCATTAGTAGAAAAGGGAAAAAAGAAAAACACAGCTTTGCTTGAAAAATTTGAGCCAGCCATTTCCAAAAAAAAAAAAAAGAAAAGCTGTTTGAACCAACGTATATATTCTTTGCATGCTATACAAGACTTCCTGGCCAGCAGATAACCGTCAGTGTTACTTTGTTCCTCTGTTCCTTCAACATAGGAACCAGCGCTGAATGGCTCATACCCATGGTTGAAAGTCCATTGACAGCAACAATCATATCACCACATCTGAGGAGAGAAACGAGTGAGGATTAGTAAGTTGCACAACCCACATAATGCAGGAAATGACCTTTCTGAGCATGAATGACCAATCCATAGATGACTCTGTCTAGGTATGATGGCAAACCAGTCTTGACACTATGTTTTAGTTGTAAAGGGTGTTATTAACTAACTGACTGGTACAGTGGTACCTCGAGTTACGAACGCCTCTGCTTACGAATTTTTCGTGTTACGACCAGCTCCAGCCCCAAAAATTTACCTCGTGTTGCGAACCACCCCAAGTAACGACCTGGACCCGCGGCCATTTTTCCGCCCCTGACACGTGGTTCGCGGCCATTTTTCCGCCCCTGACACGTGGTTTGCGGCCAGTTTTCCACCCCTGACACGTGGTCTGCGGCCATTTTTCTGCCTGACACGTGGTCCGCGGCCAGTTTTCCGCCCCTGACTCTCCCTCCAAGCAATAGCCGCCTCCCTGTCCTGTTAATCCCAGAACGGATTAACGGTAATTACATTGAACCTTATGGGAAAATTTGCCTCGTGT